TTAGGAAACAAAACTTCCAGAACACGGCCACACAGCCCGGAAGACCCACACCAGCCAACATGAACTCATCTTAAAAAAATGTAATGTGATGATAAAGACATTTAAATATAATTAAACATTCCTGATATGGAATACCGGATTAATTAAGTACAGTGTGGTTTCTTCTATGTTAGTCATTTTATCAGGCTTGCCCTCTTGTTTTTAATGTCTGCAAAAGAAATTCAGAAAAACAGTACTCCATTTTATCCAAGTTTGCTTAAATCTAGTTATTAGTTCAAACTATAATCCCTCAAAGTGTTTTCCTGTTATGTCTTGGGTTACTGTGAATTACAATAGTGAAAAACTTTTTATTATTCCATATGCTTTAGTGGGTGCGAAACCATAAGATCTTCAAAAAACTTAAAGGCTTAAAATGCTTTCAGCATTTTAAAATAGTTTTGAAGGTGCAATTTTCAATGGGTTCATTGAATCAGTATTTTATATCTTGTGTTAAAAAAAAGCAAATAAAGATAATCTAAAGCTTGTCCTTTGTTTTAAAATAGTTTGGCATTATTTATAAATTAAGATAGTCCGCAAATAGAACTACTGTTTTGTTTAATTTTTTAGATACTCAGTATGAAACTCTGTATTTTAGAATATAACAGAGTATTTAATGGGAAGGAAGTTGTTGTAAATCAGATGAAAATTTTTACTTTTAGGTTACATGTGACAATCAACCTGGATTCATTTATGTAGGAATGGACATCCTGTGTGCCATACTAACCACCAAGGACTATTTTTTAAAGCCCCAAGACCCTTTGTCATGGCTGTGACTTTTGGTGATATTAAAATAGGATGAATTGCCCTATAAAAAGTTTTAACACACATATTTTATGTAAATTCCACTCTTTCTCCTATTGAGAAAAAACTTGAAATTGGTCTCATCAACCTGCTGTTTCTAGTTAAATGCCCTTAGTAATCAAAAAAATTAAAAGTTTAGTCTCTGTAAGAAAAATTACCTGCCTCGTAATGTGTAATGGCATATGGGAATGACCTTGGGAGACAGGGCAACAGAGACACAGCCAAGAAAACAGATAAAAGGCAGCTTGGACTGCAGCAGGAATATGGGCAGGGCAGGAGGCTCAGAAGAGACCCTCTCTAGTTTTTTGAGCTGTAAAGGGGTTGGGGGATGGAGAGAAGTACTTTCAGACTTGCAAGATTCTGTTAATGTAACCTTACAATAAAGTAGAATTAGCTCATCTGGTCATGTTTCCTGTCTGGTCTACCTGGTAAGGCTGACACAACATGAGATAATCATTTGAGATCTTTTGAAAAGAAGTTCCTTTCCTTGTACAGGGGCTAGATCTAGTAATTTCTGTTGTTCCTCCAAGAATATGGGCAATGCTCTCCGATCAGACTGGAATAACTTCTCAACTCTATGTTTCATCAACTGTTCACAAACAGTTGCATACTGAAAAAAATACTTCCCGAGGATGCCTGCTTAAAGTCCCTATTCATGTAGACAAGGTAGAAGTCTTAAGCCTGCTAAAGGTAGTGGAATGATCTCTGCGAGGCCAGAGGAGGAGGAATACATGTTTTGTAATTTCCATTTCGCTTTTGACTGCAGGGGATTTTACAGAATATTTGGATGTATAGAAATAGTAACATTCCAGGAACTCAGGGACCTAAACCTGAAGAAGTTGCTACATTTTCTTTGGAATTAATCTTTCAAAAACTGCATCTAATACAAGATGGTATTAACCCTCATAGTGTCTGCAGCTGGAATATGTATAAACCAAAGACCAGCCTAAAACTTTAATTTCATGGAGGGAGTAATTCCAGAATGCACTGAAGTTGTTGCATCTCTGATAGAATGCAATAGCTAACAAAGCAAAACAATATGACCCAAATAATTCATTTCAGCAACAAGAAATGGGTTTGTTTGTTTGTTTGAATTTATAAGCCGCCCAACTCCAATGGACTCCATGTATATGGAGAGTCACTTTGGAAGTGGAAGATAGAAAACTAGGAATTGGAAAACTCCTAGCATCTACCTCTAAAATCAGAGACTGCCACTAAAACAAGGCCTTCTGATCGGGCATGATTTACACAGCATACCTATTAGAAGTATAAAGATATAGTTGGATTACTGGTAAAGAGAAACTATTAGTGGATATTGTTCAATGCTTACTACTCATCTTTTTAAAGTACTAATTTAAAAGGAAAGCCAAAGTGTGCCAATTCCTTACCGGTAGCTTTGATTCTCTGAATTGGTGGAAACCTTTCCAGATGAAGGCAAAATCAAATAAGTAACATCCTCAGTATAATTTACATTGGTGCTTAAAAATTTGTGAACCCTTCTGAATTTTCAATATTTCTACATAAATATGATCTAAAATGTGATCTGTTCTCCACACAAGTCCTAAAACTAAAGAAAATCGAATTAAAAGAGTCAAAAACATTATACTTGTTCATTTATTTGTTGAGGAAAATGATCCAAAGCTGCATTGACTAGGCAGAATTAAACACTGTTCAGCTATTGTGTAATAAAAACCAATCCATTCTTAGTCATACCGACCAAAAAATCATAGTCTTGGGAATGATTATCCTTAATTTGAGATTGTATCAAAATAGTTGTATAAGTATATACAGGTAGTCCTTGCTTAACAGTGGTAATTGGGACTGGAATTTCCATTGCTAAGCGATGCATTCATAAAGTCCAATATCAAGTGACTGCTGCTCATGTGATCACAACTTCCTGCCAGCTTCCCCATTGACTGCTTGTGGTAAGCTGGCAGGAAAGGTCGCAGATATGTGGCTGCGGGATGCTGTGACAGTCAGAAATCTGGGCTGGTTGCTGAGCACCTGGATCATGATCACGTGACTGTGGGGATGCTGCGATGGCCGGAACTTTGAGGACTGGTCGTAATTACCACTCATTCAGTGCCATCACAAGTTTGGTCAGTTCATGAGTGGTCGTTAAACAAGGACCACCTGTAACTGTATCTTTTAGTGGTGCCTGAGATGCGCCATTAAAACCACTAGAAATTTGATGAACACCCTTAAGACCAAGGTGAAGATGAAGGAAACGTCCCATATAGTTTTTCCAGTTGTAAACAAATAGTACCAATTTGCTGGGCCTGATCTGCATGTAGAGATGCACTTCTGATAAATGGATTGAAGTTGCCTTGAGATAGTGGACAAAATCTCAAGGGTTCCAATGAATTCTGGTATTCATTTTATACCTGGATCTCTGCGTTAATACAAGCATGTAACCTCTAGAAACTACAGGTAGTCCTCGACTTACGACCAAAATTGGGGCCGGAATTTCCATCGCTAAGTGATGCAATTGTAAAGTGAAATGTCACATGACTGCATTGCTTTGCAACGGCAATCCCTGTTGCCGTCATTAAGCTAATTTCATGTGTCATTAGACAAGGGCTCACCCTGATCCAAGCCATTCCTGGCTTGGTCTCTCCCAGCCTCAGTAAGGTAAGGGCTTGCCTCCTCTTTAACTCCCTTCACCCGCCTATCTCCCCCCACCCCCACATCTCTGTAGGAGACAGCAAAGGCAGCAAGGCGCTTCGGCTGTGGTGGCTGGACACAAAAGGCAAAAGGTTGGTGAAGGGAACTGGGAGAGAAGGCAGCTGGATGAACGAATGCTTGCTGAGGCTTCCAGGGCACTGTGGTTTGCTGCTGGGGTGGGCTGGGGCAGCTGAGGCTTCCAGGGGCAGCTTCACGCTGCACTGCAGTTCAGGGGTTTCTTGCACCCCCAGAACTGCAGAGCACCAAGAAGCCCCTGAGCCGCAGTGTGGCAAGCAGCCCCAGAGCTGTGCAGTTCTGGGACTGCTTGCCGCCCTGCCAGGCAGAATGCAGAGCAGCCAAAAGGGCAGAGATGGGGGGGAGATAGGTGGGGGGAGTTGAAGACTCCCTGCAGTCCTAAGTGCGGGCAGGCTGCCACGCACCTGAATTTTGACCACGTGACGGCAGGGGTGCTGAAACAGCCTTGCCTTCAGGAATTGGTCATAAGTCACTTTTTTCAGTGTGCTTGTAACTTTGAACAGTTGCTGAACAAATGGTCATAAGTCTGAAGACTACCTATACTTCTATCACCTAAGTCGACATGGTTTTCTCCCAAATGTGAACCAAAACAATAGGTAAATGTGGATTCTGGCCCTTGGATTTAAACGAGTTTGGTGGTTAGAGAGATTTTAGCTGTTTATACTTTTTCTTGTGTCTGTGCCACCTCTTATCTTTCAAGGAATCACATGTTTAATTGCATTAGCAGTAGCTGCTGATTGGAGTGACTCTGGGTGAGTTTACCAGCAATCCTTTGAAGACTCCTTTCTGAAGTACCACTTTTAAGTGACCTGCCAAGAAGTGGGATGCAGAGGAACCTGACACCAAAATGGCAGGTACAACTGCTACTGCCCTGACCAAGCTCAGAATACCACCCTTCTGAGACACAACTAGCCACTTCAATCCAAACCAATGCCCAAGTCTGGTGTGTGGTTTCGGAAGTCATGTGAAGGGAAGATTGCTGAAGCAGTTTGTTGGTGAGGCCTGACAAAAGGGGTTGCCTGATCCTTCCTCAGGTGCTCTGGGGGTTTGGAATGCTGTGAATATTCCTATCTGGCTAAATCCTGCTGACAAGAAAGGATTTAAGAAAAAAAGATAACTTTTTGCTCTAAATTTGCTGATCTCTCTGGATCTCAATGGAAATCCTAGTATTGCTGTCACTAGGGTGAATCACTTTAAGAAGATAGAAGGAAGGGCCCTTTTCTTGGAAAAGCTTCCTTACAAAAGAACTAGAATGATCTGTCAATATAATTTCAACATAGACATACTGATCTATTAGGACTAATAGTCATTGATTGATGTATCATGCACTGAAGTATCTGTGCTTTTTATAGCCTTCATAATATACTTCTATTTAATGTTGGGATTCCTCTGTAAATTAGGGACTGAAACTTCTGCATCAGGGATTGGTGGGGAAGGCAGGTGGAGTGGTGGAGTTAGGAACTTAAAGGACATCTGTGGGTTTGGGTCTGGTGGCAGAACTTAATGCCATGTATTCTGTCAGATATAATGGAAGATGGGACCTAATTTTTTTTTCCTAGCAACTATCCCCACCTTTGCATTGTTGAGATAACCAAGAAATTCTGATTTGCTTGAGCCATGATGGAGGATAACCAGAATGCTACTGTTCATTGTGACTAAGTTGGTGGAGAAGAAAGTGTTTTTGAAGATTTAGGAGAGTTAGACAATAAAATGAATTTGGTATGTGACCTTGCCATCGCATGCAAGGCAGCCTGCATCAGTGAAATCAGTTTTACATCTTGATTGTCTCTGTACTTTTCTATTAATCTACTAATCTATATACTACTAAAACTCTCATGTCTGTAATCTTCAACTGGGCAAAATGGTGCATCATAGGGCAACAATTTTTTAACCAAGGTACCTCAAATGGGCTAACTTAACAGAGTGTGTCCAAAATCTGGGACCCATTACTCCTGTGGGATTGAAATTAGGGAAATTTGTGGCTGCTTCAACACTGCTGCAATGCTGCAGTCAGCCCAGGTCACGTGATCATCATGACCTCTTTCCCACCTCCCTCTGTCCCCTGAGCCCAATTGGCTGGCAGCGAGGCCTGATGGGTGAGTAGTGATTGGCTGCTTTGGAACCGAGGCCGAAATTTTAAATCTCTTAACAGCAGTGGGCATTGAGGGAAGGATGAGGGAGTGACTTGGATGCCTGCTGGTGAGGTAGGGCTGGCTAGGGGGTGCTGATGGTTGACGGGTGAGCCCTCTTCATCCCTCAAAGAAGGGGGCCCTTGGGGACACACCAGAATAGGGAGCAGGGGTGCAGTTTTCCTCACAGTCTGCAGCTCCTTTTGTTCCACCTCCCCCCAATAAAGCGCCAGGCAGTTCTGTAGATCAGCCGAGGAGGAGGCGGCTTCACTGGGGCTCTCCTGAGGGTTGTGAGGGGAGGGTAAATGGCGCAAGCCTATATTATACACCGTGTGCACAATTATTAGGCAAC